CTGGATTATGACTGAGAACCAACCATGAAAACACAGTATGATTCCAAATGCAGGGACGAACAAAGTAGAAACTAAAGGAGATACATGTCCCTGATCTTTGGAAACATTACAATGTTTGCAAAGTAATATTTTAAAAATTCAAATTGATCATGCAATTAATACAATTGCCTATTTCCTAGATTAAGCAAAAATCCTTAGTATAAAGAGCCATTAATGTCCAAGTTTGTCATTTCTTCTCTACCCATGTTCCAATGCAGTATCAAATCCAGCTTTTAGGTCCATGATTTTGGCAAGCTCCATTCACATTTTCATGAAATTTTTTTTTTTACATTTTCATGAATTTACTCATGCTCTTAAATTTACTTTAAATGTCACTTCTATACTACCCTACTTGTGTAATCCGTATTTTAATATTTCAAGCAAGGGTTCTTAATTCAGATCTCAAGAGATAATTGTACATACATATAGAAATGAAGAAAATAGTTCACTTAGGCCGTGGCTGGTGTAGCTCAGTGGATTGAGGGCAGGCCGGCAAACCAAAGGATTGCAGTTTGATTCCCAGTCAGGGCACATGCCTGGGTTGCAAGCCAGTTCCCAGCAGGGGATGCACAAGAGGCAACCATACACTGATATTTCTCTCCCTCTCTCCTTCTCTTTCCCTCTAAAGATAAATAAATAAAATCTTAAAAAATAAAAAATAAATCAGCCTATGTGTGTTCAAAAGATTCAGGGTAACCACTGGGTAATAAAAAATAAGATGTCTTTTTAAAAAAAGGAAAGAAAATACTCCATTTAAAACAAAATAGTCAATTTAAAAGACTAACAAAATATATACCTCTGTATCCAAGTAGAAAATGTATATCTTGACATAAACATATTACGATAAGTCATTATATGGATGAACAAATTCCTGCTGAATTGAACCGTACAACTAAACAGCAGTCTTACTAATGTTTTCAGGAATCAAAGTGACCACCTCATCTTTTCGCTGCTAATTAATTTCCTTTATAGCTGCAAAGAGAGAATGTAAAAACTTTAATATGTGAAAAGATTTCTAAAATTGGATCACTTGCCAATGCTGATATAAAAATTCATAAGAAAAGTAACTACAGGACAGTTACATGTGTAAAGCCCAAAATTCATGTTCCAGGAAAGGAATCTTAGTGACCGGGACTAGTCCTCCAGCCGTATTATGGGACTAAAATGAACAGAGTATCAACAAACAGTGCTGGAACAACTGTACATCCTTATGGAGCAAACAAACAAACACCTGGACCCCTATCTCACACCATCCACAAAAATCAACTGAGGATACATCTTAGACCTAAAAAAAAAGTTAAAATAATAAAGCTACTAGCAAAAAAATATTATTGTTGTGAATTTGGAGTAGGCAAATATTTCTTAGAGAGAACACAGAAAGTACAGACCATAAAAGCAAATAAAGAATGTACTGAGTTTCAAAATTAGTTTCTGCTCATCAAAAGATACAGTGAGAAAATAAATAGGTTATCAAAAGAAAGTAAATAGTTATACTGTATCTGATGAAAGAACTTGTATCCAGAAAGTATAAAAAATAAATAAAATAAAGTACAACCCAATAAAAAATGAGTATAAGCCTTGAACAGAAATTCTGCCGAAGAAGATATTTGAATGAGAAATAAGAACATAAAAAAGTTCTCAATGCCATCAGTAATAAGCAAAATGCAAATTAAAATTTAGATATCACTACACACACATTACAACGGTTCGAGTAAAGATTTACCATACAAAATATTGGCAGAAAGCAAAGCAACTGAAACTCTCATATATTGCTGATGGGAGCGTGAACTCATACAACCACTTTGGAAAATTGTTTGGCAATTTCTAACAAAGTTTACTACCAGCAATTCCACTTCTAAAAATTTACCTAACAGAAATAAATACACATGGCCACACAAAAAAAGCTTTATACAAGATGTTCATGGCATCTTGATTCATAATAGCCAAAGACTGAAAATAGCCCCAATAATGATTGACATAAGGACAGTGGTTTATTCACCAGTGTAATATATTACTCAGCAAAATAACTGGTAATACATAACAATGGAGATAAATGTGAAAAATGTTATGCTGAGTGGCAGAAGCAATAGCTCTTTGGACCTGAATTGAAAGGGCTTTCATCAGTTTCACAGGTGCTTGTAACATCAGTTAACAGTGATGATTACCCCTGCTCCTTCCCTGACGCACACTGAAACACTGACCCCCTGTGGGTAAGGAATAAGTAAGAGGCGAGAAAACAGAGGTGAAAAGTATGGACAAATCTATCATAAAATAAAAGGGAGAGAAAGGAGAGCATGTAGAGAAGTTCACATTGAGGTTGACAGATTTTTTTGGTTATGCTTTGTCCTATTTTACTCTTGAGGACTTTTGTTTTTGAATACAGATGAAAATGTGAGCTGATCAAAATAAGTGGGAGGAGCCAGTAAAAAGTGAGGGCTGAAGAGACAAAAGGAAAAGTAAAACATGACAGAGGTGTCCAAGTAGATAGAAAGGGACAGAATTCAGTGCATACTTGAAAGAGGACTACCTCTTTCACTTTAACGGGAAAGTGGAAAAGTCTAGTTAATAACACATGTGAGGTTTGAGGCTGGGTAGCCCAAAGTAGAGGGAGCTCTATCTGGTAACTCTGCTTTCACTGCGAAGTAGAAAGCAAGATTGTCTCCTAAGGGTGAACTGAAAGGTGGGAAGTTTGGACACGTGAGAGTACAGAGGCTGGAACTTATACTGTGGAGGAACAGAACGAGTTATCTAGGGAAAACAGGATTAATGAGAAGCACTAAGAGACCAAATTAGTTTGGTAACCCTGAAACATGGTAGCAGCAAACCACCTGATTGTAAATAATACATTTCCCCAGACGGGCATGACATAAGAGCAGCAGGGCAAAGAAGTTCAGGAGACTATAAAAAGGGGGTGAAATCACGTATCATCAAGTCTAGAGAAGTGAAGAGCACAGGGGGGTTCAAGTTAAACAGAAACTACATCAATCTTTGGACATGAAGATGTGGCTGAGATCAGATAAAGTTTTGGGAGTAAAAAGAACTTTTATCACCGGAGAACCAAGGTTATTAGTAAAGTATAAGGTAATTAATGTTATTGAGATGGAACAGGTTATGTTCCAGGGTGAGCAAAGTGATGGGAAAACATTATGACAGAGAAGTTAAGGAAATGAGAGACCAGGGTAATACCACATGATACATGTAAATGAGGAAGGCACCCAGGACGGTGGCAGGGTTGGGGCTACAATAAAAGGAGACTCTAAGCTACTATAAATGAGGAAGACTGAAGAGTGGACTGAGTATCCACAGGTAGCAGGAAAAGGGGGTGGAGAGCACTATAGTCAAATGGAATGAACCACAAAGGAGTTGAGTTTATTTTGTTTCATTTGTCTTGTTGGTTTTTATATGCATGGAAAAGTAAATGATCTGAAGGTGGTAATAAGGAAGTGAAAAAATAGCCAGACTCTTGATCCACAAGTATATGGAGAACAGTTTCCAGTTAAGATGGGTTCAGGGACATTGTGTCTCTAAGAAAATCAGGTTTCAAATAACGTCAAGAGGTAAAAGAAATAATCACTTAAGTGCTTGAAGATGGATGGGATTCAAGATGGATATAAAGAAAAATATGAGACATGGGAATATCAAGAGATTGGTTCATGGAAAAAATAAATAAAACACAGAACAATATGGGCATGAGTTCACGGGAAGACAAACGGCCAAACAGGTAATCTTGGACAGTGAATGAAGGTAACAGAAATGTGTAGCATCTGAACTACCTTATCTCAAAAGCACTGAGAACTGCACTGAGTACCAAGAACTGTCAGGAGTCATCTGTGGCCTGGGGAAAATGGGGAAATCCCAGTCCCTCTGGAAGGGGTCAGCTGGCTTGGAACCAAGCATCTGAGGAAAAAGAGTCAGGTCTCAGGAGTCTAATTAGGCAGATTCTCAAGCAAAGACTAGAGGCTCTAGATCAGCCCTTGTCAAATGTGATCCATCCATCACTTGTTCATTCATATGTACATTCCTGGGCCCCAGCACAGTCCCACTGCCTCAGTCTCAAGGGCTAAGGTCTAGGAACCTCCAGTTTGTTGGTGTTTTTCTGTGGGTTTTTTTTGGGGGGAGGCGGTATTAATGTTTGAGAACAACTACTTTATTAAAAAACATTCATGGGAAATTCTTCTGTATGCCAGCATTGGAGAAACACTGCTGGCGGCAGATGTGGGGCCTGAGCAAGGACTGTGACACCCTTTAGTGGAGGCCGAATGGGGTAGAAAGACTAAACTATGGAAGCTTCCAGTAACTGTCTGAGGCTTTAGACTTTTTTCTGAACTCAACAGGAAATCATAAAAGGGTATTGGGTGGAAGGTAACCAAATCAGACACCTTTTAATAGATCAGAGAGTAGGGAGATTTGATAACAATTAAAACTGATGAGGAAAAATAACTGATGAGGCAATCCATGAGGGGAGCAATGCAGCAAATGGAAAGAAAGTAGTATTGGTATTTGACTTCTCAGAACTTGGGAACAGACCAGATGGGGGTATGAGGCAGAGGAAAAACTGAGGATTAAAACTGAATAATTAAATGTAGTTTCTCAGGCCTCACTCTTCAAAGATACCCAGTCAGTAAGTTTGGGGAGGGGCCAGGGAAACTGCATGTTAAACAAACAACACCTCCCTGCCAGGGTTTTCAAGCTCAGCTGTTTCATGGACCATATTGGGGAAAATAGTTAGACAGTTACTAATGCCATTAACAAACATGGGTAACAGAGAGGGAGAAATAGACATGAGGTAGGTGGTAAGGGTATAGGAGTGTTATAAATCTGTGTCATAAGAATGTTAATAGTTGCTACAAGAAAGCATTACACTCGTCTGTCCTAAAACCTAATAGTCAGTTGACCCAAACATAATTATATCACAAATTCCCTGGCCCCCTCCAAGAAGCACCCACAAATATTTTACTTACTTTTATTAATGCCTTTTTAACGCACAGATTGTAGTGGCATCTGGACGCACGACACACTTGAAAACACATTAAATTTATACTGCCCAGAAGAGACAAAAAGCTGCCTCGCACACACCATCAATAATGCTCATCACTGGGGGCTCTGCTTTAGCTTGGTCCCATCGGATTGTTTTTTTAATTCTGTACTTTGCATGATTATCAAAGGAATGGGCATTTCAAATCTGGGAGGAAGAAAATTTTCATCAAGTAAGTGACAATTTTCCTAAGCAAAAAAAAAATCATTACTATTTACCAGGGTTTAAATTTGGCAAAATGGGAAATGAACCAAAGTGATTTCTTGTATTATTATTTGTAAAAGGAGATAGGTTAGTTAAGCTACAATTGGCCCATGATATAGCTTTTAATAGTTGACTTAAACAACTTATAACGGACATAATTATACTTTATTTCAAATACAGGTTATATCCTATGTAAAGTATACTACTTTCAAAAGATTTCTACAGGTTACAACAATATCATACCAAATAAATAAAACTGCAAAGCCCGTTTTTACTATTGCAAAGTACCAAAACAAGAAAAGACACATAGCTAACCAAGTAAAAAGAGCAAAGACATCTGTAATTCCAGTACAAAGCCAGTAGGGCGGGCAGATTGTTCCACTGAATGCTAAGAGCCTCACAAGCCAAAAGGAATGAGAAGCCAGGATATGTTTGGCTTCTTGGATTCAGAGGTAAAGAAAGGACAGCTACAAATATACTTTGAACATTAAACAATCCACCTTCAGATGGTTTTTCCTGAATAGACAAAGGCTTATCAAAAGTAGGGTTCTAGATCCAAAGGTCACAACATTAGTTCTTCAATACTTATAATTCTTTAAACTGAGTTATTTTATGGAAATTATATGAAACCCAAGGTTATTTCAATTATCATACACATAATAAAAACCTTAACTCCATCTACATGGTACCAAAAACTGGTGGGTAATTGATTAGGAAAAATAATAAGCTCTAGACACAAATATCTCAGATGGCATCTTTTATCTCCGTGATTCCTAAGTAAAAACATATATATTTTTTATTATAATTCTTCAATATGCACTTCCTCTTCTTGTTCTAGCATAATAAAACATTTTTATGATTTAGAGTTTTCAATAAGTTACTTGAGATAAAGGTTTACTAGGGAAAAAAAGTACATGTTTAATGTTTATACTACATCTAACTGTGTTCAGTGTAGATAAAATGCTCTGACACTTATCTATCAAAATCACTCTTATAACCAAGTTTGGCTTATTCCAAGTAAAATTCTTTCTTTTTTCTTAATTTATATGTATTTTACATTGAGGCAAACATGAACCAAGTCCCCAGTACATATTAGTTTTAGGACAGAGACTACGAAGTTTGAGCGGTCCACTGGAAGGCTTTTTGGAGCCTCTGCGTGTGCGCACCTTCTTAATCTGTGACAGAAGACCAGACATTGGCATTGACATTGACTTGACATTTACAATGCTACTTGTCCAACTTTTCCAATTTTGCTCCTAATTCACTGAACTTCCTTGATCCAGTTTAACGGCAAGCATTATTTATGCTAATTTTAGTCATTTCAATGTGTATTATTTATTTGAAGTAATTAGATTTCCATATTTGACAAAAACATCCTAGGAAAAGTCGCTTAAATGTACTTAAAGTGGACAAAAAATAATCTAGATTTGTCTGTCCCTCTCTCTCTCTCTTTCTGGGTAACTACTTCAGGAATAAGAAAATAAAAAAGAAAGTTCTAGGTTGGAAAATAGGTGGTTTTCAAAAAACACTCAATGTTTGCCCTTGGGCATAATACGAGCATAGAAAGGAAATAGTCTGCAGATGGAAAACCTTTGTTTAGCTAGGTCTTCTCAATAAAAGACTGAATGACCTTGACAAAGTCAAGCTGTTTCCCTTTGTAGACAATTCCTAAATTTTCTTCAAATGTATAAACCTAGAATACATAAGCATATGTTTCAAGTCAAGGATAATTATTTCATGCCTAGAAACATATCCTTCTGTATTAGGATAGGACTAGTAATACTACATACTTTTTAACTTATCTTCTAAAACCAGTGAAAGACATGTTCACCGAGGTAAGCTTAATTTGAGAATGTAAGGCAAAGAAACAGCTCTAGGAAACCATTAGAATGCCCTTTACAGTTATTTTGCTTCTAGTTAGTTTCACAATTCTGTATGACTTACTAAAAATAGCTTTATTAGTAAATAGATACAAAAAAATGAATAGTATATATCTAACTTGTAGAAGTTGCAAAAATGCATTAATTATATTGAAAGCTCGTATGATAATATCATTACTTTACTGATATAAGAATATTTCAGCCCTGGCTGGCGTAGCTCAGTGGATTGAGCACGGGCCTGTGAACCAGAGTATCGCGGTTCGATTCCCAGTCAGGGCACATGCCTGGGTTGCAGGCCAGTTCCAAGGATGGGACGCATAAGAGGCAACCATACATTGATATTTCTCTCCCACTCTTTCTCCTTCCCTTCCCCTCTCTCGAAAAATAAATAAATAAAATATTTTTAAAAAAGAATATTTCAGGCTTATAGTTTTCAAACAGATTGTGTTATTAAAACTTTCACTTACAGTGGATTGAGCACGGGCCTGTGAACCAAAAGATTGTGGTTCGATTCCCAGTCAGGGCACATGCCTGGGTTGCAGGCCAGTTCCCAACAGGGGCCAGTTCCCAGCAGGGGTTGCATGAGAAGCAACCGTACATTGATATTTCTCTCTGTCTCTCCCTGCCTTCCCTTCTAAAGATAAATAAATAAAATCTAAAATAAATAAATAAATACAATTATTTTTTTTAAACTTCCACTTAAAAATACTGATGCAAATGACATGATTATAAAACCACCAAATTACACTACCAGAGGTACACCATAAAGAGTATGGAATCTTATGAGAAAACAATGTAGGAAAAGGTTAATGGGAAGAAGCACTGGGTTATTAACTAATGTAACTCTACAATGTGGAAACAAACAGAAATACAGAACTATAATTCTAAAAAATATATTTAAATATTTCTAAAACAAATTGATACAGAAAAGAATATAAGAGATATAAACCAAAACACAAATAAGAAAATCAAATCTTCCTACTTTCAGCAGATTCTATCCCCCATCTCCTATTCCCTAATCCCTATGACATCAAATGTGTAATGCTTTCTATGAAGCATTTCAGTTTAAAAGATGTCCACGTACTGCTGATCACTGGCCTTTTTAAATAATATTCCATTTCATAAGGAGAAATGATTCATAGAAAATGTAGACTTGAAATAGTCAATAAGCAATAAAAGAACTTTAAATTCCATCAATGCTATGGACTACAGAGATGAAAACACTTCAACTACAAAATATATAGAAATTGTCAGGGTTCTGGTTACGTGAGTGTTCATTTTGTGAATACCCACCATATAAATCTGTATCCACCGTACCTATCCTTTGGGCTATTGTTGCCATACATTTTACATCTGCACTCTACTTAGTCAAATGAATTCTCTTGCCTTCCACTTCAAGAAAAACAAAAACAAAAAACCTTTCCTCAGATGAAGCACAGGACAGTGCTTAGCAGTGAACAAGAACGACAGAGTCAGAGTAAGCCATAGCAATATGTTTGCTTTAAGCAAATTAGTTTTAAAATTTTTTAAATGAGAAAAATGGCTTTTAAATTTACCAACATATTTACTATTTCTAGTACTCTCTACTCCTTGTATACATTGATTCATTTTTCTTTTTTCATAAAATACTTCAATATTCCTTGTAATGCCAGTCTTTGGGAAACAAATTCCCTCAGCTCAATGTTAGATACAAAAGTGTTTGTCTTTTATTTTTGAAGAATATTTTTGCTGGGTATAGAATTCTAGAGTCACAGCTATTTTTTCAGTACTTGAAAAATGTCACTCCTTTGTCTTCCAGCTGACATACTTTCATGAGCACTCTTCAAATTTTTCTTCAATGCACATTCCTCCTCTGCTCTGGATATTTTTTTAAATCCCTATTTTCATCAAATTAGCTTTGATATGCTTTGGTGTCTGTCTGTTTCTTATCCTAATTTCGGTTCCTTAAGTTTTTAAATCTGCAAGTTTAAAGTTTTCATCAAAGTTAGAAAATTTTCTGCAGTGATTTCTTCAAATATTTTTCTGCCCCCCTTCTAGAACTTTAGCTACATATATATTAGACTGTTTAATATTCCTCATAAATCACTGAAGCTCTGTCTTTCATTTTGGACTGATTTTATTACAATGCCCTCAAGTTCACTGACTTTGTCTTCTGCAGTGTCTATTCTACTATTAATATCCAGTGACATTTAAATTCAGAAACTGTATTTTTCTTAACTGGAAGTTCCTTCGATTCTAATACCTTCCTTTGCTCTACCATGTACATATTTTCCTTAAAAATATTTATAATAACTGATTAGCTTTCTTGCTGGTAGTTCCACCAAATCTATCAGTTATAAGTCTATTTTTATTGACTATTTTTTTCTGGTTCTGCATCAAATTTTCCTGCTCCTTGGCACATATCTTATTATTTAATTAGATGACGGGTATTATAAATATTACATTGTTGAAGGTCTGGATATTGTTTTCTTCCTATGAAACATTTTGTTGTTGTTGTTGTTATTGTAAAGAAGGGGAGCCAACTAAATTCCTTGAATATCAGTTTGATCAGGGTCTATTTCACTTTGTCTAGATTGTATCTGGCATAACCTTCACTCCAAAGATAGGTCAGTCCTGCTTATAAGAAATTATCCACTCTATAGTCTCCACTAAATGCCCTGGTTGATCATGATTTAACACCATTCTGACTGGCTAAAACTCTAGTATCTCCCCATTTTATGTAAGCTCTCACAGTTGCTCAATTTAAAACACCCTTTCACAGCTGTGTCATGCCATGTGGAGTTTTGTATTACCTATGCATGGCCTGGTTAAAGGTTCATCAATCTTGTCTATTTATTCAAAGAACCAGCTCTTGGTTTCACTGATCTTTTATATTGTTTTTACTCTATGTCATTTATTTCTGCTCTGATATTTATTATTTCCTTCCTTCTACTCACATTGGGCCTTTTTTGTTATTATTTTTCAAGTTCCTTTAAGTGTATAATTAGATTGTTTGTGATTTTTCTTCTTCCTTGAGATAGGTCTGTAAAGCTATGAATTTTCCTCTTAGGACTGCTTTTACTA